ACTTTTTCCGAGTAAATAAACACAAAGGGAGTACAAAATACCTGAAATTCGCAAGGACCATGGATGCCAACCTGAAAATAACTTGTTCCCACGTGCCATGTGGAAGTGGACCATCTATGTTGTTTCTGCTTTAACCTTGCCCAAATAAAATTAAACATGAACAAACATGTAATGTGCACATAATTCACACATATAATTGCAGGCACTTGCCCAAACAATTTTTAGAACGGGGCCCAGAACCAAGAAAGAAACACAAGAATGAACGTGCCATCGTTGCAGGATGATGTCGCCATCGGGAACTTTCTTGATCAGATCGGCCTATGCATGCAAATTCTTTGGGCGTGAGGCCGATGCGGCGGCAACAATCATCTAGGATTCCAGAGCTCCCATCCAATGCAAGTTTTTCACGTGTCTGAAAAAATGCAAGTTTTTCACGTGCCTCGTTCTGCGTAATCGTTGTTGGACCTCTGACCGTTTGACAAGGCGTGGACTGCCCCACCAAGCCGCATGCCCATTGTGCGATCAACTTATGGAGACCATCGATCATCTTATTGTGGCTTACGTGTTCGCCCGACAAGTTTGGTTCGAGGTTCTGGACACTTGGGGTGCGGCATTATTGGCGCCTACAGCTACGGGCACACTTCTCGCTTGGAGCACCTCCCATATGCCTCAAGCTACAACCTAAAAAGATCTCAATTCGCTCATGTTGTTGGTGTTCTGAACAGCGTGGAAGCATCGCAATAACGTGGTGTTCAACAAAGCCACTCCCAGGGGGTTTGTGCTTCGAAGGATCTTGGACGGGGGCAAAACTTGGGTTGTGGCTGGTTTGTCTAATTAAAGGTGATCTGGCACCTACTGTGTTTCTTGTGGAGGTCGTTGGCCATTGTAAAACTGTGGATGGTTGTCCTGCCGTTTCTTCTATGAATATATAAAAATGTACAGTGATTGATAAGACAATGTTATCTTAAACTTTACATGTAATTTAAAGATAAAAATAAAAAGATATCTACAATAGGTTACTCTTAGCCTTATTTTTAATAACTAGTAATTTCTAAAAACATGATATAAAACATATCATGCTAAGAAATCATCTCTTAAATAAAAGAAGACAAGCATTTATCATATGTGACACTCCTAACATACCACCGTTGTACATACCGACGAACCCAGCGTCCTCAGCCCCCGCATGGACGGCGAGTCGGCGAGGCTATGAGCGTGCCCTGCGGTAGTGGAGTAGCGCACGCCGGCGAGGTCAATGGAGCAGGAGAAGCGCGTCGCCCACGGCCCACCACCGCTCTAGCTGCAGCTAGCAGCTCGGCCGTACGCCGGGATCGATGGGGGCAACTCCTAATCCGATCGTTTCCCAACTCGGATTCCCCGGCCACAAAGAATCCGAACACGGGCAGAGCCGGATTCAAAATTCGACTCGGATCGGACGCCAGCGGACGTGGCCATGATAACGAACCCCCCGACGCGCAGCTCCTGCCGTGCGTGCGCCGACGCAGGTTTTTCGAGTTATTCCATCCGACTAGGTCGCCGAGTTCCGATGGCGGGGGCCGCCCGCGCGCGCGCCATGGGGAAGATGCAGAAGGCCGTCGCCGTCGCCGCCGTCGACGACCTCTGGTGGAACCGGCACGGGTTCCCGCAGGGGTACCACTTCGTGCCGGACGACCCCGAGCTCCTCCGCCTGCTCGAGGACAAGATCGCCGGCCGCGCTCTCCCCCACCCTCTCCCCACCATCTTCCACGACGTCAGGCTCCGCGACTACCACCCCGCCGAGCTCTACGGTACCCCCTCCGTTCCTCCTCTCTTCTTCTTCGTTTTGTCTTTAGTAATCCGTGGTGATCCGTCGATGCAACTCCGCGCGCGCGCTCATGGTGCGAATCGAAATTCGATGGAGCAGAGGAGTACAGGGCGTGGCAGGAGGCCGGGAGCATCTACCTCTTCAGCGAGAGGGAGTTCCGAGGGAACGCCAGGGTGCGCCCGGGGCGGCTCGCCCAGGACGGCTGGTGGAAGGCCTCGGGCGGCGGCGAGCCCTTGAAGCGCCGCGGCCTCACCGTCGGCTCTAAGCTCACCTTGGTCTTCTACGACAAGAAGCCCGGCGACAAGCTCGGCGTCAAGACCAACTGGGCCATCAAAGAGTACACCAAGATCGTTGACAAGAAGGTAATTATTCATCTTCCTCATCGATCGTGAACCCCTTTGTTCATGGCTGAATTCTCTACTGGTTTGAAGGTGATTTTTTGTTTATAATAATTAAAATTGGTTTGCGAGCGAAAACACGTTGGGTCTGTCTAGGACACATCTAGATGTGTCATAATTATGTCACATCTAACCTGATGTTCATTAAGTTTGTGGTCTATTTTTTTTCCTAGCTTTTTTTTTGTTCCTTGTTGGTACATTATTTGTAAGAGATTAGATGTGACATTCTTAGAAAACATCTAGATGTAAATTAAACAAACTGAAACATGGTTTACCTTTAAAAAAAAGATTTTGATTTTGAGTTGGCATTAGCTTAATTAACACATCTGCGGCGGTTGCATATATAGCACTCCGACCCTGACACTTTTTATAACTACTAAAATTGTCATTTAAAAAAGAACCAAAAAACAGAAACTTGTTATCCGAAAAGAAAGTTGTCATGCTTGACAACTAAAGTTGTCATCCTCGCGTAACTAAACTTGTCATAAAAAAACGTTCGAAGTTGCCATATAATTGTGCCACATGTGTGACACTTATCAGGGTCCTATATTTTTGGGAGGGGAGGGTGTCTTCGTATCTAGGTTGGCGAATGTTTAACTTGAGTTTTTTTTTTCATCTAAAAAAAGTTTCACGTATTAAGACATACTTCAGTTTCATGAATAGATGATGCTTAATGGTTGTCTAATTTGAGTATATGTTTGTATAAAAACTTTAGGTCATAAATAATGTTTCCATGGTAAACCTAACGTTATTATCTTCACGTTACCAAATCTATTCTTTGTAAGCTGCTAGTCAATCAAAGCTAAGAAAACATCTACCGCCACAAGCCTACAACGCAACACATTTACACCGAAGAAAGGAGGGTGGTGGCAGTGTATATTTCCTCAGTCAAATTTCTAGGAAGTCATTTGATTTCAAACAAACAGAGGAGTTGTCTTAATTTCCAAATATATATCTGCTGTTGAGATTTCCTATCGTACCATGCCGGTCCTAATGTCGATCATCTGAAAAAGGTGATTGTGCATGACGTTTACACTTGACAGACTTGTAATTTAGAAGTGATCACAAATTAATTGACATTTCAAGCTGTGATGGACACCACGTACTATACACATCTAGATTGGCCATGCATGCATGCATAATTGCGAGTATGTATCTTTATAATTTCAGAGTTGAGCCTGCTTTCTCCTGTTGTTTCCTCATCACGCCTTTGTGTGTTTGCAGGCGGAGGAGATGGCCTTGTACCGCCTCTACAAGATGAGCAGACCCAGCAATGGGAAGCAAGCAGCTCAAGAAGATGAAGACGCCCCTGCTTTCAAGGAGGAGACGCCGCCGCCAGCCGGGCAGCCACATGACTACCACTACGGCGCCTTCGGTGCCGCGCCGGGGCCAAGCACAAGCTACTCGGTCACCGGGCCGGGGCCAAGCACAAGCTACTCGGTGACGCCGGACGGCAGCTACATGGGGCCGCAGCACAACATCGTCCAGTACACCAACCGGCATGCGCCCTGGGATGTGCTGCCGGCGATGATCCGGTCTCCTGTGCCATCAGGGCCAGCAGCCGCTACGCATTGCCTGCCGGCGTCTGCCGAGCACTTTGGCTACCAAGAAACTGCAGCAGACGCCAAGCACCCTGGCTACCAAGAAACCACAGACCCGCTGAAGGCGCAGCAGCTACTGCCGGCGTCTGCCGAGCAGTTTGACTACCAAGAAACTCCAGTAGACGCCGAGCACTTTGGCTGCCAAGAAACTCCAGTCGACGCCGAGCACTTTGGCTGCCAAGAAACTCCAGTCGACGCCGAGCACTTTGGCTGCCAAGAAACTCCAGTCAACGCCGATCACTTTGGCTGCCAAGAAACTCCAGTAGACGCCGATCACTTTGGCTGCCAAGAAACTCCAATCGACGCCAAGCACTTTGGCTGCCAGGAAACCACATGCACGCTGAAGACGGAGCTCCCATCACCACCGGCGGCGCTGGCTGCTCAAGGCGGCTACCTGGCTGATGAGTTCGACGATTGGTGCCAGGCACAGCAGGGCTTGCAGCAGGTGCCTATGAGTCCCTCTTTCCCCATGCCCGACGACATAGATTCACAGCAGGTGGCTGCGAGTCCCTTCCCCGTGCTCGAAGATACCGATTTCGATGGCTTCCTTGAGGACATCGATATTGACAGCTTGCTTGAGGATATGCAGACGATTCCCACGGAGGAAAACAGCGAGCGCTTTTCATGCACATTGGATGAGCTCCTCTACCCCAAGATGGAGGACGACACGTCATTGATGCCCAACGATGTAAAAGATGTCTCAAAAGAAAAAGGTTAGAGTAGCAGGAACCAGCAAGAGCGATCAAAAAAGAAAGAAGATTTACAGTAGCAGAAACCAGCAAGAGCAATGGATAGCAGCTAGTTATCTCCCAGTCTTCATATTTCATGGCGTTTCCTCACATTTAGCAATTTCATTCATGGTGTTCATACTACTGTACTGTTGTAAGTTTTCTTTTTGTATATACTGTTCTACCTGAGAAGCAATTTCTTCATCGGACATGATTGGCTATTTTTTATGATTGAATAGGTTTCAAGTCGCAACCCCTCAAGTTACATTAGGGAAATATTGATCATTAGGCATTTTAGTGGGGAAAATCATCTCATGATAACTGAATCTGGAATAAATTCTAATTACATAATTTCTAGAGATTCATGCATGATAAGGGAGGGCTGATTTTGCTCTGACAGCTTGTGTATGTCAATGTCTCTGTAAATGAACTGAACATTTATGTGCCCATCCCAACCTTTGCAAAGTTATCACCATAGGCGGTTGTCAACAATGGCAGAAACTACATCTTTCAATGTTCCCTACAAAATTGTCGTAATTGTATCAGACATACATTTATAATACTATTGGATCGAAAGAAAAATGACAAACTGTCCTCAGTGATATGTACAACAGTAATAGTACATGAGAATTTCTAGGGGTTCTGAAAAGTAAAGATCAATTGTACATGGTCCACATAATATGGCAATCATAACATGGAAATTGTTTCAATTCTTACCTGGGAATGATCTTTCAAACCAAGAGAGATCACCAACGGCCGAGCTGAGCCACTACCACTTCAAAACAAGTATAACAACAATATAAGTACAAAACGGTGAGACAAAGTTAACCAACCCTGATACGTAAGTCATTTGTGCATGCGTATGTAGGCAAATGGCATGTGGTATATCAGCCCTATGAGCGAACCTGTACGGGTTGGGTACTAACTTCAGTATAAAAATTGGCACAAAAACTATAGGGTGAAGAAAATATTACGGGTGCGCTTGGATGCAAAGTATTTTTGCAGTTTTTGGGAAATACCGTGGTTTCTGAAAAATCATTGGTATTATAAACTTTGAGGTGTTTGGATGAAACAAAAACTGAAGGCCTAGTTTGGCAGCATTTTGTTTAAAAAAAACCATGGTAATCCTAAACCATAGTATTTCAATGTGTGGGCAAGCAATACTTCGTTTCCCTAAAACCATGGTTTTCTCTGTTTAAGCAATACTACCGGTGTGTTTGGCGGTGCTGTTTTACTACAGATTTTAACCAACCCATGCTAACAGCCGCCGGCTGCATGCAGCTTTGTCATGCATTAGGTCAAAACGTCTTCACCTAGATGCTAGGATCTGTAGCAGGCTAGAGTTATCACTTATATATACACGTATGTAATCTAATACCTGAATTCACGCATAGCCTTTGCATGAATTGCATAGCCTTTAAATGAATTACTCTATAAGAAGATCAGATGCGATCGCCTACTATTTTTCCTTTGTCTGTTATCTGGTAAATGAATTGTATTCTATCTCCTGATTATTAGGCGTTTCAGTTTGATTAGCTTGCGTTTAGTCCGTCTCTTAGGTCCTTCCGACCATCGTCACCTGCGAGCTCATCTCTCCCTTGCAGCCATAAGCGAATCAAGCTCACCTTCTATATCCCGTCCTTATCTGTTCAGTCTAATGATTGCAACCCTGCCGTAAGGGGCTGCATGTAGGTTAGAGATGTCATCCCTAGATGGGATGGCGACACAAATTATTTTTTAGTGATCTTGCACGCTTTTATCGACTCCTTGGTTGCCAATTATTTTCCGACGAGTAGCAAGTCTCGGACGAAGATTGGTGCAGTAGACCGATTGGGGTCATTGGAGCACTCTCGTACGCAGAAGGCTAGCTAGCCAATAGCTAGAAGCAAAGTCGTACGCAGCAAGTTAAACTAATTTGCCGATCAATTCTAAAACGCACGTACACTCGCAAACTATTTTGCCCCGGCTGGAAGCACATGGACGTATAGGCAGGATATATAGGTGCGCTAGTTGAATCCTGAAACATCAACAACTCATGCAAAGATTATACGTGAATCGGTGAATCCATGTGCTAGATTACATACGTGTGCATACAATTGATAACTCTAGCCTGCTACAGATTGTAGCATCTAGGTGAAGACATTTTGACCTCGTGCATGGTAAGGCCACATGCAGCCGGCGGCCGTTAGCAGTGTGGTAAAACAGCACCTCCAAACGCACCAGTAGTATTGCTTAAACAAAGAAAATCAGCGGTTTTAGAGAAATGGAGTACTGCTTGCCCGCATTGAAATACTACGGTTTTGGATTACCAAGGCTTTTTTAAACAATGCTGCCCATTTAAGTCTAATCCTTACAACACTGAAGGGTATTGGAGAACATTTGCACGGAAATTCAACAACAGTGTTAAAAAAGAGGAGCTTATTGCTGCTTGCTTTCAATGTTGTTGCCAGTACAGCCTAACCAATGACTAAACGGAACAATTGATGGGCCATAGGTATGCATTGTCCCACATGGAACTCCTCATCCAAAATTACATGCAGTTATTAACGGTGCTTGACAGGTACACAGACAAAAACTTGAAAAACTAATCAAAGATGGGGGAAACAGCAGATAGCACGATGAGATGGTTAAGAATGCAAACCTTATATGCTCGATAAGTTGACGTGCACAAGCTAGCAGGAGTGGCTGCAATCACAACGTTATGCAGAGTCATTAGATGTGTCCACAATCAGGCCTGACAATATGGATGTTCTGATGAGAATACCTCATCCCTCTTCCCAAAAAGAACAGATACATCGTAGGTTGGATCAGAGAAAACACTTTCATCTTTCCTATTCAGGAAGGAAAGGGTTAGTAAAGAATGCAGCACAAGAGTTCAAGTAAAGAAATGACAATGGTAATTAGAACGGAGTTTTACGCACGGCGGCATGTGTGCACGGTATCTTGCGCGTGTGTTCTCGCTTTGAGATGGTAACTATCAGTACCAGCCTGGGATATTGAACAGTTGTACAAGCATATACACATCGTATTAGTTTGTTTGTTCATACGCGAACGGTCTAAGATGCGTGCATCGGGTCGCCTTCCACGGACGGGGATATGTGCCGGCACAAAACGAGCCTCGTCTGACATGGAAAGAAAATTTGCGTGGACCCTTCCCATTACTATCGCCCGAAACCCCCACCCGACCACCGCCCCTGAGCTCTCTCTCTCTCTCTCTCTCTCTCTCTCTCTCCCTTTTCTCTCTCATGGTGTGCGGCGCTCTCGTGCTTGCCGGCGACGAGCCGACGACCAGCGTCGCTAAGCCATTCTTGGTGCAAATCCGCTGGGTGAGCGTTTCCACCGACGGCGCACACTCCTAGCCGCGGCCTGGAAAACGGCGCGGCCACATTCAATCTCGGCTCGGGCACCACGCCAACGCTCTGCTCTCCTTCAATCTACGGCACCACCGCGAACTGACTGCGGCAAGGTCCTCGTGTCTCTCAAGCAGGACTCGGTTCCGCCGCCGGTTCCATTAAGTTTCGCCCAGATCCACCGAAAGCAGTCAACACGGAAGGGTCGAAACTCCAGATCCAGTGGCAGGGAGACCGTCGTCCACCTCGCGAGCTCCGATCAGGTGAGTTCTTTCCCATCATGTCGGCTCGTCATGGCCAGTTTATGTGTTCTGTTTGAATCTTTTCCTCCGCTGATGGTTTTGAATCCATGGCTGTTCTTGTCCACAGGTGCTAGCTTTGCATGTATCAAATTTTGCTCCATTTATTTCTTTGATTTGATCCGGGTGGGTTGCGGCCTTGCGGGAGCAGCCGACCTGCAGATTTGTGACGCGACCGTATTTTCCAGGCCTAAGCCGTGGCCTTTCGGCGTGCTATTGCAGGGTCGAGTTTCTTTCCGGCGGGTTGTGGTGTTCTGGTGGGTGTGCCGTGTGCGTCTGACTCGGGGAAGAAGAACAGTAATTGTTGGGCGGTGGGGTAGAATCGGGAGAATGGAGCGTGTCAATATTGGCCCCAATCTGCCGCTGGGGGCCAACACTGTTTCCAGGCTGTACTGCTACTTGTTAAATTTTGGTATATGCAGTGGGCAGTTAATTTTTTCACTTACTGTTTATCGGAATGCAGATTCAAAATTTGAATCTGAATCTGGTGTGTTGAGTGTTAACCCACAAGAAAAACACGACATCTTTTAATTATTTGTTCCATATCTAACAGGTTTGAAACTATGTATCAGGATTAGATAGACTGGTTTGATGTTCCACTACTGGCACTTGTTGCTGAATCACTCCAGTCCTGGTTTCGATCAAGTTCGAAAAAACTGTCTAATTTCTTTGCAAACTTACAGTTCTTGCTTAAGACCTCTGGTCTGATAAAATATGTGCTGGCGCTTCTTGCTTATGAAGTGCTTCAGACCTTGGTTCTGATCAGTTCAAACAAAAAAAGAATTGCTTTTTTATGGGGAATTATTTGCAAAATTGACGGTATGGTTCTGGTTTAGTCGATGATACTGGTTCTCGTACAGGACGGACGATTAATTTCTGCATGCAGCCCACCAACTCAAGCTGCTGGTACTGCTCTGTTCGGGAGCCAAAATAGTATTACCAATTAATTGGTGTAAATAATGGATTAGTAGTCCTCTGTTTGGAAGCCGAATTAGCAAGTGATCCGCCTAAATAATGTCCCGACCGTCATTTTGATTTCAGCCATGCATGCCTTACTGGAGTATACTCCCTCCGTTCCAAAATATATGACTCAACTTTGTACTAACTTTAGTACAAAGTTAGTACAAAATTGAGTCATCTATTTTGGAACGGAGGGAGTAGTAGTTAAACCACTGTTGCATGCGTTAATACTCCCCACTAATGCTCAAGCTTTTTTTTTTTGCTGGTGCACTAATGCTCAAGCTTAAAATAGTTGGTTGCCTAGCTAAACAGTTTTGTTAGTTGACTGGTCCTGCTGCAGTAATTTTGAATGTCCTAATGGTGCCTAATCACTCCCAACCACATCACGCATTTTTTTCCACAAAATGGTACTGATTGATTAGTTTCATAATGCACGTTCAGCAGGTTAGATCAAAACAATGGCGTCTTTTAAAAGATTTCAAACGAACCAGTAGCTTGCTTCTTGTGCCGGCTCAGGGTACTCAGTCGCTCAAGGTTTCTGCCTCGTGCGAAACCTGGCACTCGATCCGGTGGCCCAGGTGTGCCAGTACGGGGCGCTAACGTTTGTAATACATGCATTCCTATAGCAGGAAATGAAACATATACACAGCGTCATAACTGCGGTTGTGTGATCCCAATGCGGACCAATGGACTGGATATGCATACCAGTGGACGCGGTGCACAGAAAGCATTATTCGCAATGGTAATGCCTTAATTCCATAAACTGTTACCAGTACAAAACATCCAGTACACTTCTTTGTCACCCCTTAGTTGACACAGAATAATATGCAAGAACCAATCATCTATCATGTTGAGGTAATAATGAAAGATATAGCACAAATATAAACCTGAAAGTTATGACATGACATTTACTGCAAGACTACAGAACGGCTCGATAGTTTTGCAGCTTTCTTTGGTACTAGACTAGATGATTAACCACACAAACAGATAATTTGTGTCGTAGCACTAAAGATCAGCTAGACCTGGAACTTCCAAATATCAACATGTACATGGAGGGGGCGACCACATATGCAGAACTGATGATGCAAAAACATAGGGCAAACTCTGCATTTTTTTTTTGACCGGGATATACCAAACTATACATGCTAATGAGAATCAAGAACTTACTTAGCAGCTAATATGGTTCCCATGCATCCGATCTGCGTCACGATGACCTGCCAGTACAGTAACGTGGACAGCTGAGCATCTCTCACATGTGAAAATCAGCATTCAATCAAATCAAATACGGCCTATGAACTCGCAACTCACCAGAAAGTTATCCTCGTATCTGCTGATGACAATGTCAGTCTTGTTGCCCTGTACAGCCCAGACAGACAGAAGCAAGTTATACTAACTCCCACTGTGATAGTACTAGATTTCTCTTAAAATCGACCAGAGAAGTGCGTAGATTAATTCCAACAGAGTGGAAGCTACGGATCCCCCGGAAAAAGAAAGTGCAGGCTACGGATTTAAGGAAGATACGGTATCAGGGAGAAAAGATTGGTGATGTTGCTGGAGCAAGCGAGATCGGCAGACCTTGATGTCCAAGGAGAGGGATCTGTGCGGCACGGGGAAGCGGCCGCCTGCCTGCGCAGGACCCGTCGGCGTCTCCATCTGCGAGAGCAAGCGGATAGAGGAACCGCGTGCGCAGAGGGGAGAGGAAGCTGCTGCTGTTGTTAGAAGGATCGATTGGAAATCCGGAACCAGCCGGGCGGATTGGACGCAGGCAGACAGTGGGAAGGAGGAGGGGGGCTGGGGAGGGAAGAACTACTGGGCGGCGTGACTGTGGCGGCGCCAGGCTCGGGAGTCAGCGAGGACAAGACTCGGGAGAGGAGATCGGAACGAGGGAGGAGGACGGCAGTGCGAAGGGGCAAAGCCAGCGGGCCGGCCCGGGCACGGCCCACCCTTAAACGTGCCTGGCACAGCGTGGCCCGGCCCGCCGGGGCCCGTTTATAAACAGAAAAAAACAAAAAATGAGGCAACGTGTCATCGATATCTATCTATACTCCCCCCTAAAAAAATCTATATCTATCTATGCCATTCTCTTTTTTTGCTAATAAAGAAGAAACATTTCTTACCATCGTAATTTCGTCCGCCCGTCCTATGTCAAACAAGCTTTTCGTTTGTTCTCTATCGGGGCAATCGAACCCGCGACCACCACAATGCAACCAAGGCTAGAAGATTTTGTTACCTGTAGACATAAGTTAAATTTTCCGTCATGCGGCCCAGACTTTTAGTTTGTTCCGTTTCTAAGTCTCCTCTCGCCTGGGCCTCAGTTCACCCTTTACTCAATACTCTCTCTGTTTCATAATATAGTGCCTATAGATTTTTGCAAAAATCAAACATTACAAACTTTGACCATATTTATAGAGAAAGATAGATACATCTAGAATACCAAATGCACATCATTAAATACATCATGAGTTGTATTTTCAGAATGTACATGTTTGATATTGTAGATGTAGACAGTTTTCTCTATACACTTGGTCAAAGTTGGCAAATTTGACTTTCATAAAAATCTATAGGCACTACATTATGAAATGAAGGGAGTAGCAGGTCGAGCTGAAGCAGCGGCCCAGCAATAGACAAAAAATAGCGTCAGTTTGGGGAAAAATTACTGAGCACTTCATTATGTATATAAGACTGCAGCCAACAGAGCTAAGCTTTAGTCTAGAACAAAAGGTTTGTTATCTACTTCCTCTTCCAGCTACTCCAACGACAATTATTTCGGTACAGAAGGAGTATTAAATAGTCCCACCTTACTTCTTTTCGATATTGCACCATTTAATGTACGTTTGCAAAACTTTCACGTATAGAAGTTGGTTGCTAATGGATTCCTAGCTAGGCTACCGGCACGACAGAACGAATGAGACGTGATATTGTGGCATGTGGCGAGAGTGCACGTATACAGATTGCTATGCGCATGCACAACAAAACGACGAGCATATGCAATTGGATTGTGTTGATACGAGTGCTTGTAGACCCCAAGACTTGCACGCCGCATATAACAATGTTAAAACAAGATTTGTGGTCAAACGTCTAGCTAGGGACTCTCTGGTATACAGGCCTGCATGAGACTACGTGCAACATCCGCTCATCCGACATTGGTGACCGCATGTGGTTCTGATGTCTGCTCCATGTTGCCAAAGGCAAGATCGGCAGTAAGCCACTGGCCAAAATGGTACAGTAATTGCATCCTGGGACGAGAAGGAGTGCCACATGAACGGAAGACCAACGTGCATTGCGGTGCGACTACATGAGGAGTCCCGGTGTGAGGCGTGGCAATGGTGTGACAACAGTGAAATCCCCTTCACAGTTGGATTGTGAGTAACCGGGGGAAGGGTGACAATTGGAGCCCACAAGGGTGGGCGATGGCGTGGCGCCTATGAAATCCTCACGCCATCGTATGTCATCAAGAGGACGCAGAGGAGTAAAGGAACAAGACTAGCCCCTCTAATGCAGACCTGCAGCGGCGAGGCCAATTCTACGACGAGTGCAAGCGACAGCAAGTCAAGACGTTGTAGGGTGATACATCAAGGACTTCCTCCTGGATACCACTTTTGCCTTGACTGCCACCACTATAGAATGCGCGAAATTCAACGCTGGCTCGCCCACGACTCTGGTCAGCACGCACGAGCTCATCTCCGCTTACCTACTCACAAGTATTTTGTTACTATTTGCGTTCTTGCGGTTACTTTTGTGATCAAACAAATTAAACCATCAAACAATCTGTGCAGCTTTTACATTGATTCCTTACTAGTTTCCATCAACCAATTTCTTCTGTTGTTTGTTGTGTTCTACACTCTTACTTATCGAGAAGAGCTACCATAGGTGCCCTACATAGGATTGGTATTTGGTGTCTTAGTAATGCACTTTATTCTTTAAGTGGTAATGACGTTTTCATCGATAGCGAGACGCCCATGATTATTTTTTCAAGTTTCGTAACTTGCACCCGATCATTAGTAGTGACATGTTTGGTTGCTCGCATACACCCCAACCAGACCCGCGCGGGAAGAAAATGGCCTGTTTGGTTGCATACGTTCACTGTTTGGCATTCATAGCACGAAACTTAAAGCACCTTGGGGCTAGGCCCGCTTGGAACCGATGAATCCACAGTTTTTCCATAGCTAGGCCCGTGGGGTGCACGTGGGCGGCGGCTACACGCGAGGAGCCACTCTCGAGACATTGTGTTGTTTTTTGAAGCGTCGTCATAATACCCCTTTTTGAACATTAAAACAGCAGGAGAGGCTCCTACTATTGCTTTACGTAAATGGTTATATTACATTTACAATATTTACATAGCCTTAGAGATAAAAAGATAAAACCGGCATCTACATTATACAGTTTAAGAAAATATGCCCTAGAGGCAATAATAAAGTTATTATTTATTTCCTTATATCATGATAAATGTTTATTATTCATGCTAAAATTATATTAATCGGAAACTTAGTACATGTGTGAATACATAGACAAACAGAGTGTCACAAGTTTGCCTCTACTTGACTAGCTCATTGAATCAATGATGGTTATGTTTTCTAACCATAGACATGAGTTGTCATTTGATTAACAGAATCACGTCATTAGATAATGATGTGATTGACTTGACCCATCCATTAGCTTAGCACGATGATCGTTTAGTTTGTTGCTATTGCTTTCTCCATAACTATACATGTTCCTATGACTATGAGATCATGCAACTCCCGAATGCCGGATGAACACTTTGTATACTACCAAACGTCACAACGTAACTAGGTGATTATAAAGGTGCTCTATATGTGTCTCCGATGGTATTTGTTGAGTTGGCATGGATCAAGATTAGGATTTGTCACTCCGATTGTCGGAGAGGTATCTCTGGGCCCTCTCGGTAATGCACGTCACTATAAGCCTTGCAAGCAATGTGACTAATGAGTTAGTTGCGGGATGATGCATTACGGAACGAGTAAAGAGACTTGCCGGTAACGAGATTGAACTAGGTATTGAGATACCGACGATCGAATCTCAGGCAAGTAACATACTGATGACAAAGGGAACAATGTATACCGTTATGCAGTTTGACCGATAAGATCTTCATAGAATATGTAGGAGACAATATGAGCATCCAGGTTCCGCTATTGGTTATTGACCGGAGATGAGTCTTGGTCATGTCTACATAGTTCTCGAACCCATAGAGTCCGCACGCTTAACGTTTGGTGACGATCGGTATTATGAGTTTATGTGTTTTGATGTAGCGAAGGTTGTTCGGAGTCCCGGATGAGACCAGGGACATGACGAGGAGTCTCAAAATGTTTGAGACGTAAAGATCGATATATTGGAAGGCTATATTCGGACATCAGAAAGATTCTGAGTGGTTCGGGTATTTATCGGAGTACCAGAGAGTTACGGGAATTCGCCGAGGAGTATATGGGCCTTATTGGGCTTTAGGGGAAAGAGAGAGGGGAGGCTACGTGCCCCCCAAGGCCAGTCCAAATTGGACTAGGGGGAGGGGCAGCGCCCCCTCCTTCCTTCTCTTCTCTTTTCCCTTTTCTTCTCTCCTACTCCTACTACATGGAAGGGGGAATCCTACTCCCGGTGGGAGTAGGACTCCCCAGGGCGCGCCATAGTAGAGGGTCGGCCCTCCCCCTCCTCCACTCCTTTATATACGGGGGAAGGGGGCACCCCATGAACACACAAGTTGATCAGTTGATCTTTTAGCCGTGTGCGGTGCCCCCCTCCACCATAATCCACCTCGGTCATATCGCAGCGGTGCTTAGGCGAAGCCCTGTGTCAGTATCATCATCATCACCGGCATCACGCCGTCGTGTTGACGGAACTCTCCCATGAAGCTCTGCTGGATCGGAGTTCATGGGACATCATCGAGTTGAACGTGTGCTGAACTCGGAGGTGTCGTGCGTTTGGTACTTGGATCGGTCGGATCGTGAAGACGTTTGACTACGTTAACCGCGTTCTCATAACGCTTCCGCTTACGGTCTACGAGGGTACGTGGACGATAATCTTCCCACTCGTTGCTATGCATCACCATGATCTTGCGTGTGCGTAGGAATTTTTTTGAAATTACTACGTTCTCCAAAAGTGGTATCAGAGCCAACTTTATGCATAGATGTTATATGCACGAGTAGAACACAAGTGAGTTGTGGGCGATACAAGTCATACTGCTTACCAGCATGTCATACTTTGGTTCGGTGGTATTGTTGGATGAAGCGGCCCGGACCGACATTACGCGTATGTTTACGTGACACTGGTTCTACCGACGTGCTTCGCACACTTTAGTTGAACCGAGTGTGACTACGCCCGGTCCTTGTTGAAGGTTAAAACAACACTAACTTGACGAAATATCGTTGTGGTTTTGATGCGTAGGTAAGAACGGTTCTTGCTCAGCCCGTAGCAGCCACGTAAAACTTGCAACAAGAAAGTAGAGAACGTCTAACTTGTTTTTGCAGGGCATGTTGTGATATGATATGGTCAAGACGCGATGAGATATAAATTGTTGTATGAGATGATCATGTTTTGTTAAAGTTATCGGCAACTGGCAGAAGCCTTATGGTTGTCTCTTTATTGCATAAGATGCAAGTGCCATGTAATTGCTTTACTTTATCGCTATGCGATAGCAATAGTTG